TTTGTAGTACTGATTATGGCTCTCGTCAGCGTCACTTTATTCTTGACCAAGTTGAAATTTTGATGTATTTTCAAAGAGATGTTTTTGAATCAGTACTGGAAAGTGCACTTTGTTGGGTGAATTTTAAATCAGGAATGATAATCGCTGCACTATCAAACGGAGAGTTCTGATGTTCTTCAATTTGTGGCTCAAAACAATTTAGGTATTTGAGTAATGGGAAGTAATAGAATTTTGCAAACAATAGCGAAAGTTTCCTCAACAATAGTTGTTAACCAAAAAAAACATAATAAACTGAATTAAAAAAAAATTAAGTATCCGTACTTTTGCAGATTTTTAAATCCATTTAAACTTTTTCTGATTTTCATAGTTTTCAATTTTTGCTTAAATTTCTTAATTAGCATCTACACTAATTAAAGTTTCTGACTTTGTTTCTACTCTTAAACGTGCTTTAAAACAATCTGGAAAAAATACTTGTAATATATTTAGTAAAGGCATGAGTGATCCAATTGCAATTTTTCTGATAAATTATTTGAAAAAAATCACTAATTAAAAAATGATCTAAGTTTCAAAAAAATATCATTAACAACTTTTGTAAATACTTTTACCAAAAGCACAAAAAATTTTGAGCATCTTGCATTATTTTTTTTACAATAATTTTCAGGAAAGTTTCAAAACTCAATTTCAAAATTTTTTGAAGTCAGAAATCGTATCTCGACGAACCATTCCATTTGATGTTTTTATAATGGGAAACTAGCTAATTCAAACTTTGCGTTACTTGGCGCAAGCTTCACAATTTTGTGTTTCATGTTTGGACACTGAGAGTAGTGACAAGGCGTTTTAAATCGAGAGCATAAGATCGTGTAAGTAATCCGCTGCCATAGCAATGAAGCAGTTAGGAAGAGCACTCCCTTTAATCTCATGCTTCAGTTCTAGCACGCTTCGTTGTAGCTCGCGAAAATTTTAGAAGCAAAAAAAATTGCCCTTGAGTTGCGAAATACAGAGTTTCGCTTGACAAAATTAATTTGGCCTGGAAGGTTGGAAATAAGAGAAACTTAATGTCCTAGAGACGACTGGATAGGCCTTCGAGGGATCCTCTGCAAATCGCAATGTTTTTCTATATAGTGCTGGGTAATACATTTCAAAAACTCAATTGTTTCTCTTTCTCGTTTTTTTGTAAAAACAGAAACAAAAAACTGTGCTTTCTGATGGCATGATCTGAAACTTTAGGGGCATGTTTTTGTTTTAGCAATAAGTTTGACAAATTAACTTGAAATTTAACGATATTACAAACTGATTCACAGAAGTCTCAACGCTATCTAATTGATTATACACTCATTTGCTTCAAAAAATTTTTTAAGTTACGGTATATAATTTGAGCATGCACCTATTTAGCTTTGATCATGCACCTGTTTATGTAGGACAATTTTTAGTATACTTTCAAAAAATTAACAAAGTTTCTAGATTCCATTTTGAAAGATTCCAAGAATTCTACAGAATTTAAAATAGTGCGAAGTGGCGTTAAAACATATGATACTTGATATATAGCATATGAAATCCTCCCATTAGTTTTGGCTTCCAGTGTTTCTATTAGAGAAGCTCATCGGTTTCAGTCCAATTGTGTGAAAGAAAACACTTCTGAAATATGAACTGGTTGCAAAATATGCGTAGAAGTTTATTGAGTTGTTCAACACTGCAGGGAGTTTCTAAAAATAATATTCAAAAATGACATCAGAAATGACTCAAGAATTACTCAGGAATTACAGAAATTAGGAAGTTTTTTTTTCTCAAGAAGCAATTGAAATGGATATTTTTGTTCAAGTTCTTGATCTAGACATGTGAAGATTTAATTGAGTCTTAAAAATTTGTCAGAAATCAAATCTTCAACTTTTTCTTAGGCTTCAGAGCGCATTGAATACCTTGATATTTAAAACCTTGATATTTAAAACAAACAAAATATTTTTAGAACAGAAAAAAAAACAGAAACAATCATTCATTCATTTTGATGACTTTCATACAGTAGTTTGAATTAACCCTGATGTAATTGATGAGATTGGCTTCACTGGGTTTCGAATTCCTCAACACAGTACCGAGTCTAGCCATGAATCCTATTCCCACTAGGCAGACGAGGAAGGAGACAGACAGTACAATCAAGCAGACTGTTCTCTCCTTCTCCCTTCGAGATATTTTGACAATTGTGCGATTCATTTTGTACACAATCACCATGTTCACAGCCAACACCACCACACCTGAAAAAAATATAGAAATATATATTTTTTTAAAAATTGAATTGATTTTTGTAAAGTAAAGTTATTTAGATGCGAATTATTGCCTGTTTTTTGTACGCGGTCACCATGTTCAAAACCAACACCTCCATTCTTGAGAACAAATTAAGACAAGACTGCTTGTATCAGGGCGAAGCCCTGAATGTTCCACCTGCCTTTTAAGGTTTAGGGAGCAGTAATAACATTAAAAAATTGAATGTGATGAAACAAAATGAAATTTTTTTCTCTGAAATTTGAACTTTTTTCATGAAAATCATCCCCCTACACGCCATAAAAAGTACAAAAGAATAGATTCAGAACTGCTAGAACAATCAATTATGGCAAACAAGTTTATTCCAACCAATACGGAACGATTTCTAGAACGGATTAATTTCCGCTTACGCGTTAAAAGCGCGAAATATATCGCGCGTTAATTGTCCCAAAATGGCCAAACTGCCAATCTTTTAACCCCCATAACTTTACAAAAATAAAATCACCGGTGAAATATCTTTTCAAATTTAAGCTCAGGACAACAATACCTTTCGAACGATATAAAAATTTGTCTGAAGAAAAAAATCTACACCGAGTGCAAATATTCCGTTACTTTCGTATCGAAAGTCGGAACAAAAAGACACTCTTCTGTATGATTATTTTTCATTTTAAACTAGAGCGATAATTTAAATGTATGAATGGGATCAGACTATACAAGAGCCAGTTTAAGAGTCATAACCCAAGATTAACCAACAGAATGTAACAGTGGATATGAATGAGATATACAGTAGAGCTGAATTAACCGAGTATCGTCTAAATACACTGGGTCCTCTTTTCAATAGTACTTTTGTGAAAAAATTTCAAAAAAGTTTTAGTTATTTTTCCAAATTTTTATATAAAAGATTTTGAACTGCAAAAGTTAAATTCTTAAATCTAAAATAGTAAATTAACTCATTACCAGGTGTGATGAATCCTCCGACAAAAATGAGTTCGTAATACACGTGGAACTGCCATTGCTCCGGAAAAATAGCCCAGCGGTTCTCAAACACGTAGTTGCAATAAGTTCCATCCAAGTCATACTCGAAAAATATAGGGACTGTTCCTAAGACTGTGAGAAACCAGATTGCAACTGTGGTTATGACGGCCCTGATTGGCTTCGAATTCTGCTTGTAGTAGATTGGCTTCCAAATTGCAACCAATCTGTCGGCTGCACTTGCCAGCAGAACATATCCGGCTGAAACAGAAATGTTAAAAAAAATTCTATTGTAATTTATGACCAGAACAGAGCATTTTGTAAACAAAATTCGCCTTAAGACGCAACCAAAAGCAGACGCGTATTTTGAATCGTATGTTATGTCGTATTTTTATCGCTTTTCTGATTGGAATCAATTGAAATTCCAGTTTTTACTGGCTATAAATTTGAAGCGATTCATGTTTGTGAGCCGTTATCAGATCAAAATTTTAGTATAAAATTTTCGGTCAATTTTCAATAAAATATCAGGTTCATAATTAATCGTTGGTGATGCAAACAAAGCTTTCCTAGGTAACTATGAGTTTTGTGAAAATTAAATTATTGGTATATTTTGACAATGATGAATATCTCATATTATATAAATTTTACCGACACAATTTGGCGATCCATAATGTTTTTTTTTGCTTCCAAAACTCACTAAAATACGCAACGGATTTAAAGTTACAAAGATACAAGATTTGAAAATAACTCTGAAATAGAAAAAATTAAATATCGTAGGAAAAATAATCCAAATACATCAATCGTTTATTAGTTGGTGTCTGAGATAACCGCAACAGTAATCTAATAATTAAGTTTTTAAATTAAATTCATAATTATCACATTTTGTCAAATGGCTGAAATGTTCAGTGAATTTTTCACCTGAAATAGTTGTCGCGTAGGTGAAGAATCCAAGCCACCGACACAAGAGAGGGTGAGATGAAAAAACGTCAAATCCGATCAAACTGAGAGATGATTCCATCACTCCATCTTGCACACCTGAAAAGCAAAACTATGGGGTAAGATATATTACAACCTGAGATTGGAAGCCTTTCTGGCTGAGATTGAGAGCCTTTCTGGCTGAGATTGAGAGCCTTTTTGGCTGAGATTGGAAGCCTTTTTGGCTGAATTCGCGACTGTATACACCACATGATGACTGTATTGCGACATTTATGACATGAAAATGTAATGAAATTAAAATGGAAAAAATTCAATAGATTTGATAGGTTGATGGAATAGTAAAAAAAAATCGTTTTTCATTTTGCCTTAACTTCAGCTTATTTTCTATCCAGAACGCTCTGCAAAAACGATCGAGCTAGTTTAAGCAATTATTGATGATTCACTGCTGCAAATACCCAACATCACTAACTGCTTATAAAGTAATTTAATAACTTTTGCAGGGCAGTCTGAGAAAAAAGTGCATAAAATAAAACAAAACAACGCTGCAATAATTGATTCTCGGCTAAAACTAGCAACTGTAAGCAACCAAAAACCAGAAACTGTAGGCTGATTAGTTATATTAGTTATACCAGATATATCAGTAATATTTGATCGATCAAACAAAATTTTCAAGTCATGGTGGTATATAAATCAGTCGAAGTATAAATCACCTCCTGTACTCACGTCCATATAAGAAAAAAGCCTATCATACAATTTCATATATGGAGTCTATGGAAAAATGATTATCATGTAATTTTCATAAAAGAAAAATATATGACAAGCATTTTTTCATTCAAAAGTTATTTTTTTCGAAAATTATCTTCAATTGGTTTAAGACTTTAACAAAACAAATTGGTGGAAGTTTTGTTTACCTGAGAGCTATTTTGGCATCAACAAAACTCTTAACAAAAAATGCTTGTCATAAAATTCTATAATACAAAAGTTTTTTTTGCAATTTTTATAAAATCTTTCATAATAAAAAGTATGGCAAAAAACTATTTTCTTAAATGTGACAAAAATGCTTATTATAAATGTTCATAGTATGGAGAAAATGCTGATATTGCGATTTCGTAATATTTTTGTGGTCTTTGGATAAGGATTTTTTAATAGTATCATGAAATTTTTTTCATAGGCCTTTTTGTCAACCCAAGCTACTACAAACAACAGTCGTAAACTCGTAACTGTTACAAATAATTTATGTAACAATTATGTAACAGTTACGAAGTCCAATGAAAACTTCATTCAAATGGCGACGTAACTTTCGGTTGGTTTGGATACTAAGTATAATGTTTGGGCTGTTCATATACTCTGTTTATTCAGACTCGTTAATTAGACTAGCGCAGACTCGTGCACGTTTTTCTGCGCATACATTATAGTGTTTTTCTTTTTCAAAACTACTATATTTAGATAAAGCCATTTACTGATGACACTATCGCACACAACTCAAAAACGATTGATTTTTCGACGATGATGAAGACATGTAACTTTTAAAGAAACATCATTGTGTACAGCAGAACCAGCTTATACAGCTTAATTCTTCATTGCTTGATTTGTTCGTGCATAAATTACTCGAATCGCTCGGCCAAAATTTTTTATATTTAAATTGTTTAATTTTGTTAAGTCGCATGGAGCCAAAATTTGCCAAAACTTATAAAACCAAAATTCGCACTTTTTAGGTATTCAGCTGAGCACATTTTTTATTCTTAGACTCACACTTTTTTTCACAAAATTGCGCAAAATTACTTTGGCAACAAATATTATCAGTATATTGTGAGATCGCGTTAGTTTGTTGCATTGATTTTGGAGAAGAAAAATGAGTGAACCTTTCGATTGTTGCATTTGTCTTCAAACTCTGGAGAATCCAAAAGCTCTTTATTGCGGTCACTCATATTGTTCACTGCCCAAAACTTGCCTGCAAATGGTTTTAACTAGTGATCTGAGAATATGTTCGAAATGCCGGCAACCAATTCCTTATAACATTCGCGAGGATAAAGACTTGTCGATAAACTATGATTTCCGAAGCGCGATAGAGGTAAGACGTCACTAATTTTGAAGGCAGCAGCAACCAGTTTTTTCAAAATTTTTGACATTGACAAAAAACAGCAAAATTTTTGACAAGAAAACACCATTCTAGAGTAATGATAAAAGTAACGAACTCGCCGAATGAATTTTTTATGCATTCAAAGCCAATCAGACAACATGCAACTTGGCGATAATACACCCACATGAAGTATTGGAACTCAGCCCCCTGCTTAGCCAGTTCGTTTTCATATAATGCTATATATCTACAAGTTGCGATGAAAAAACTAAACCGCACAACTTTAATAATCAATCATTGAAACTGTCATACCGCTACTGCAGTAGCAGTATTTGTCTATGTATGTACAACCAACCTATGGTGCTTACTCATTACTTTTATGGTATGCTCAAGGTCATAATGAGTGATGACATTGAGAATCAGTGAGAGATCAGAGTTCGTAACACTGATCTAGCTCTCAGTAACAAAATAAAACAAAAGAATAAGAAAACCTAAATTCAATATTCCAAATACAGTATTGAATTACAACTTGTTTTCAACCGATATCGCAACGCATATCACATGGCGCAGCCAGCAGGATTCGCAGCTCAAGATAACAGAACGGATATGGGAATTCCGGTATTTTGGGCGTCAGCGAATCTAGACCCTCCGTGGCAATTCAAAATCTGGTTCGAACAATTTCTCATGGCGGTTACGGTCAAAGAAAATGTGAACCCAGATATCATTTTGGAAGAACCAAAAGACATATTAGAGGAACCACCACCACGCCCAGAAACACCCAGAGATGGAGAGAATGAAGATGCGAGGAACGCTAGGATTCTCAGAGATAAGCTAGCTATAGATAGAGTAGTATTGGAGAACGAAGAGAGAAAGACAAGAGGCCCACGAGTCGGACACAATGTCTTCTACAACGAAGTACAAAAGAAATTGGTGTCCAGATTATTTTTGTCTTTGGGCACAGAGGGAAAGAAGAGATTCCTACAAAAGAACCCACATGCTGAAATATCGAAAATGACGTTCAGGGAAATTACAGATTTGGCAGAAGTCTTGTTTCAAAAGGTAAAATGTGTAACATACGAAAGATATAAGCTATTTACGAGAATGCAAGAATCTGAAGAATCTCTGGAATCATTTCACGCAGCGTTAACTGCACAAGCAGCCCGATCAGAATTGGGAGCATTGAAAAATGAAACAGTCCGAGACCTGTTCATTTCAAAAATGAAAAACATGACATTGCAGGACACGCTGACATTCGAGACTCTAGACCCGGAAGAGGTTCTGAAAAGGGCTATAAAATTCAAACATAGCAAGTTAATTACAATGGCGTTTCAAAAGACTAATGCTGCGGCGACAGGGGGATCAAGTAGCAATTACACCTCGGGTGTGAGAATAAAACAAGAACCTGTAATGGCAGTTCGAAATTTGTCGGGGACGAACAAGACTCCAAACAGAAGGGAATCGAATAAAAGACAAAACAATAACAAGAATCAAAACATGAAAACGAAACCATGTAATAGATGTGGAAGGACGTTTGACCAGGGACACCTGAAAAATTGCCCAGCGATGGGGAAAACCTGTAAACACTGTGGTAAACCCAATCATTTCGCTAAAATGTGCAGATCCCAACAAGTAAGTGAGGTTGCGGAAGACTCGGAAGGATCGGTGGAGGAATGCGATCAGATAAGTGAAAGTGTTGGGTCATGTAGTGAATTTGAAGTTGTGTCGGTACAAACCTATCAACCGGAAAACGAGAGAGTTTCAAAATATGTGAAAGATCGAATCAATGAAATGAGGAACAAATCAAACGAAAAAATGTTACGAGTTCAGAAAATAGATTCGATTCGCGATCCAACATTGAATCACTTAAGGCCATGGTACGAATAGATAACCAAATAATTCAATTAACAGTGGACACAGGAAGTCCAGTTTCATTCCTCAACTGGGCGACAACGAAGGAAATAATGGAAAAATCAAACAAAGTAAGATTCATTCCGTCAGACAAACTGAATTTACAAACCAAATTCGTGGACTACATCAAACAACCGATCAGTATACTGGGAGCCCTAAAGACCAATCTGAGGTCAGCGGGCTGGGAGGTAAAAGGCGCTACCTTTCTGGTATCAGAACGAAAGACCAGATGTATCATGGGACTAGAATTGCAAGGACAAGTGGGAATAGTTACTACACAAAAACCAGCGCCCAAGGAACTCACCAGGTTTGACGTGCTCATGTGCGAGCAGTCAGAAAAATGGAACGAAAATTTTTTCACTCAATTTAAAAACTTATTTGAAAGACAAGGTATTTCGAAAAATCACATTGTCAGTTCAAAATTTAAATATCCATTATGTCCGATTCAAGAAGAATCCCAATTCATATACAAGATAAAGTCGAAAAAAGAAATCGAGAAGTTGTTGACAGAAGGTCATATAACAAAACTCGATAAATGTACAAGTGATTGCTTTATCGCTCCGATTGTGATAACAGTAAAGAAAGACGATTCAATAAAATTGGCAATGGACGCGAAACCAATCAATAGACAATTGTTCAAAAATATATACCAAATGCCGAATGTAGATGAACTCATTGATGGGGTAAGCCAGATTGTGACTGAAAACAAAAAAGGTACGCTATATTTTTCGGTGTTAGATTTAAAATATGCGTACAGTCAATTAAAATTGGCTGCTGATACAGCTAGACAATGCAACTTCAACATTGTTGGTGGAAAAGCAACTGGAACCTACAGATTCTTGACAGGGTTCTACGGTTTAGCAGATATGCCAGCTGAATTTCAAAAGGCCATGGATAGAACCATCAACCACGCTAAAAACACGTTCTGTTTTCTGGATGACATACTAATTGTGTCAAAGGGAAGTGAAATTGAACATGGAAACTTGGTAGAAGAAGTATTAAAAAAATTGGATGCGGAAAATTTGGCATTGAAACTATCAAAATGCGACTTTTTTAAACAAGAAGTGAATTGGTTGGGTCATCATCTCTCAGAAGCGGGGGTTAGACCAAAAAT